TCACCTATTCCCCTATTAATTCTGACCACTTTATTGGAGAGAATGTTTAGAACCATTTTTTGAAGACGTGACACACGAGCTAGCGTCAGGAAAAGTGGTAAGGCCAGTGCTGCCACAGCTACCCCATTTGTAAAATAATTTAAGTCGTTCTGGGTAACAAACTGTGCCATACGCGGCTAAGTAAATCACTACTTATAATAAATTTGAGACTGTACCTGTGTATCTATCAATCGTCTGTGTGCTATGAATTAAATTTTTATGCATATTTTCATCGATAGGTTTGTAACTTCTGAATAACGGTCTAGGTAAAGCATCTAGCTTAGTTGCCAGCTTAGAATTAGAATTATGAGGGTTAGTAACACGCATTTTCATTGGAGGACACTGTCATATTTATTTCAAACCAATAATCAACGAGAATATTCGTATAATTTAACAAAATTACTGTGAACCACTATAAATACGAATTGTTGGTTAGATTCAAAATTTTTCCCTTCTTAAATAAATTTAAGCATTAACATTATTAGGCATTTGCATAAAAGTGTTTATTTTGGGCGGTATTCCACAAAATTTGCAGGATATTGAGGAAACAGAAAATGTACAGGGTGGGTCAAATTCGACGCTTTTAAATGGAAACACCCTTTTCTATAGGAGATAGACAAAAACTAATATCGGTGTCTGGAGCTCAATTTTTGTCAAAAACATGATGGTGAAAACCGCATATCGATATCTGTTACCGTTTCGGAGTTACGGGGTGTTTTTCAAAAATGTGCATTTTTAACAAATCGCTGTAACTTTTTTGCTATGAAAAATTTTGTATTTCTATGAAAACATTTCCAAAGCACCTTTTTACGTAGAATTTAATTGTTTAAGTATAATTTTTTTAAAATTAATAATTTAAGAGTTATCAACAGACAAATTGATTTTTTATTTGGGACACCCTCTATATTTTTAATTAACTGAAAAGAATTAAAAATCACCTTTCCAAAAATATAGCACACTTGATATTTTGTTATAATCCCCTTCAAAATACAGAATTTTTAAAAGTTCGCCACTTTTAACTAGTAGGCTTTGGACCCCTCATTGATGATATGCCCTTAATGGAACTCGAAAACATTATATTTCCAGTAAGATGACGCACCGCCTCTGAACGCTGAAGTTATCAGCAAATTTTTGCAGCCAATTTCAAGAATAATTGAATAGCTAACCAAGATCCCAGCCATTGGCCGTCGAGGCCGCCTAACTTAGTGCCCATGGATCTAATCCTATGCATATATTTGCGGAAGAATGAAGGTTCCTTATTCTTCCATATAATCTAGACAATAATTAAAAATACTTAGCAGTTATGAGGGGGTATCTTTCACCCCCACCGAGTTAATGAATTCCGCGAGAAATGTTCAAAAATTGACCCGTCTGTCCATAACAGAAGACGGTCGATATGTCAAATACCTGTAGCAAAATCTCATGTCTTGGTTTGCTATTTATTTTTATTGTTATTAGATATAGTTTAAATGTGTTGATGTTGGTTAAATATATTTTAAATTGTTATAAAATTCTGCATCTCTCATAGCAAATATTATTTTCGTTTTAATTGATGCTCACAGCTAGAATTTTTTTGCATTACAGCCGGTGCCGTTCAAAGCCTACTTATTTCAAGAGGGCGAATTTTTATATACTCTATATCTCGAAGAGGAATTGAGCAAAATATCAAGTGTGTTATATTTTTGGAAAGCTAATTTTAATTTTTTTTCAATAAATTAAAAATATACAGGGTCAAATTCAATAAATCAAATTTTCTGTTGATAATTCTTAAATTATTAATTTAAAAAAAAATATACTTAAACCATTAAATTCTACGTAAAAAGGTGCTTTGGAAATGTTTTCATAAAAAACAAAATTTTTCATAGCAAAAAAGTTACAGCGATTTGTTAAAAATGCATATTTTTGAAAAACACCCCGTAACTCCGAAATGGTAACAGATATCGATATGCGGTTTTCACCATCATGTTTTTGACAAAAATTAAGCTCCAGACACCGATATTAGTTTTTGTCTATCTCCTATAGAAAAGGGTGTTTCCATTTAAAAGCGTCGAATTTGACCCACCCTGTACAGATTACAGAAATAATTAAATTGAAAATAATATTGATATTAAAACAGCATTATATGTCACTTTTTCAAATATGGCCTTTAAATTCTCCCATTTAATAGCTGTTAGTAAGAATTTTCACTTCAAATATGCGCACATAGACATGCGACGATTTTTACTTGATTTCTTCCAGAGAATTATTTTCAGAAAACTATTAAATCATTTTTATTGTGGATGCTCTTGAAGCGAATCGCTTGCATTTAAATCCTTTTTCGTATTATATTTGGCACCTGGCGGCTTGTTTTCGGCTGGTCGATAAAAATGCGACGAACATCGACGAAAATACCGGTAAAATTTCAAATTGGTCCTTCCGATGCAGGAAGCATTCGCTGCTACGTAATTACTCATTCGAAAATAACTCAGTTTCACTTTAGGCCGTGACACTTTTCGGTCAACTTCCGGTAGACCGAGATGAGTTTTTACTAAAGTTAGGAACAGTTTTTTTTTCTATTTTCCCAGCTCTATTTTAATAAAGAACTGTTGAGGTAGTTTCAGTTTCAGTCATAATAACATTTACATTTTTATTATGGAAGGTATAAAAAATAATCAATTCTACAGATAAAAATAAAACAAAATATGATATGATTCTACCGTATGATCGAGAAAAAACGGCGTCAACAATGGCTATGAAGTGAAGATCGCTGTCATTTTATATGTAAATTTATATGGGAAATGTCATCGATCGTCATTTCCCAGCCAACTGGACGCCATTTTTTTTCGATCATACGGTATAAACATACACAGGAAATGACTACAACTTTTGATTTTTAAATGGCACCCTCTGTATATTTTTCGATAGAAAATGACACTCTGGATAGAATGACATATCATATGTCAACTTTTGACATTTTCGCTTACAAAAAAATCGTATTTTAAATTTCGATCTAGAGTGTGCATGGCTGTGTTGAAAACACTAATTTTTAATCAAGGAGCCTTGGAAAAATAGATTTGATCATCTAATGTTTGTCGTGTCTTGTACTAGCCGGTTAAAAGATGTCTAAATCGTGTTTATAGTAATATCTCAATATTTTCAAATGAAACAACAGTGGCTCATTAGGATATTTGGAAAAAGCATTTTTTTACGAGTAATTTGGTAATGAGGTATAGAGTGTTCAACATCAATATTCATAGAATTTTACAGAGAATTAAAGTTTGTAATAAAAAATGGGGGCACCCATTTAAAATAAGAAATTTACTGTCAACTTCCGGTATTTCCGGAAGTGCCGCCATATTGAAAATATTTTTAATGGATTGATCTCGTTGTGCAACAAGGATGTGCAAAAAATCTCCGATCTAGATATTGTAGTTCTCCAGAAACTTCTAATGCACGCTAAGCCTGGGACACCCTGTATATCACTTGTTTGCGATATTCTCCGATGCTGGCAGCACCGGCGGAGAATGCACCAAGCCTAAACGAATATCTTCAAATTCATCTGCTTGAATTTAGAGTGCATATTCTCATTTCACTCCAAAAATTAAAAAATTATAAATGTCCGTAAATTCAAATGCAGTATTTCATTTTCTCAAGAAATATCTTTATTTTAAATTAAAAATTTTAGTTTGATGAAATTATAAGTTTCCATTTAAAAATTGTATTACTCCCGATTAGAGTAGGCATTTTTTATTTTAATATTAACTTAATTTTGGAATAAAATTATGAATCATATTAAAGAAAAATTCCCGTCCCCAAAAACGACGCACGGTGGGGTATTAGCATGAAAAAGGTGATCGAAATTCAAAAAAGCAAAGATTTAAGATTTCCCAAAAAAAGATAAATGATAAGTTAAATCATGTATGCCACGAATGGCGTTGCTATGGGTGTGTTTAGTTGCATTCATTTGTTTCAACGAAACGTCAAAGTTCTTACTTCTCACAGATAAGAGGTAAATGGCTAAATTTTATGTTTAAAATTATAAATTGTTGTTGTTCTTGTGCTCTTTTTACGTTTATATTATTGTTTTGATTGAAAATGGCTCAGCAAGCTGCAGGTATTTATTCTGCAAAAACGTATTATTTATTTTGATATTCTCTATACTAACGATTTTTTTTGCAACTAAAAGTTAGGCGTTCAGAAAATTTGATTAAATTTGTGAAAATTTTATTATACTTAGAGATTTAGTTGTGCATTTCGAAGAATTCAGCATATTGTCTATATACGTTTTACTTAGTAAAATAAAATACTTCGACTTTTTGCGACTTTGCTGATAAAATGAGAAAAACATTCTTGGTTTCCTCTAATTTGCCAATCAGTGATATACTAATGCGAGGTGTAAACCGCGATGGCATTGTTGTGTACAAAGCGATCGCATTAGTGCCATTAGCAGTATAGCACAATTTGGCATTAGTAGCGATTTTAGTGGTATGGGCATTGCTCGCGGATCAGTCGTAGCATTAGTAGTACCGTATGATCGAGAAAAAACGGCGTCAGCGATGGCTATGGAATGAAGATCGCTGTCATTTTATATGTAAATTTATATGGGAAATGTCATTGATGTTCATTTCCCAGCCAACTGGACGCCGTTTTTTTTCGATCATACGGTATTAGTTGCGATATTACTACTGGTATTAGTGGCATTGACGGTGGAAACACTGGAACAGTGGTTTTTCTTTCTTTTTTTAGAATCGACGAATTATCCTTTATTTTGTTCATATTATTTCCTCTTTAATTGAAAATAGCAATAATTTATATAAGGTCTACATAAAAAAATTTCGATCAACTATCTGTGTCAAATACCCCGCTGTGCGACGTGGCAATACTCTCCACCATCCCCTACATTCTCTTCCGTTCCTTCGGCTCTTCGGCAACACATGTTAACCGAACGCGGCCGGTTTTTTGCTGACATTGTTTAGACTTACCGCTGAGCAGTTGTTCCAAGTAAACACATCTGCTGCTGAGGTAACTGGAATCGACAGGCGGCGTGGTACCGCCGAAGCCGTGGTGCCCGTCCAGCAGTTCGCACTTTTCGGTGGAGGTGGCGGCCATCAGCGACAGTCGAGCGGACAGTTCCTCTACGTCTGGAAAAAAAGTACACTTTTAATAATGCAAAATTAAATATTTTTTTATAACGTCCGCACTGAGGCTATACTCTCTTTTTGCTCAGGTAAGATTTCGATGGATTTCGACTTCGACAGACGATGACAGAAGAAAAGCAGATGACATCCTATACCAATCTATTTATTTTACTAAAAAAAATTCTAATATTTTTTAAGTTAACTATGGATGGGTTTAAATATAAATCCGTCATGCGTCGTCTCTTGTTGTTTTTAACCAGTTTTATTGGTTTATTTCAAAATTGATAGATCATGTTACAATTTTATTGATCTGACGGAACGATGAACGACAAACGGACGCTGATGCGTATGAACTCGCCTTTAGATTTTTGAGGTTTGTTAAAGTCATGCCAAATTATAGAGGTTATAATTTTGTGTCAACTTATGTCAAATATCTGCGTTATGGCCATTGCCTGGAAACTTATATGGTGAAATTTTGATAAAATAATTTAGTACTCACTAAAAACACGGTACGTCGCTAGTGGTAGGAAACATAATTTTTAGAGGTTACTAGTTTATTTGGTTGCTTGTGATATGCATATACAGGGTGTTTCCTAATAAATCTAAAAAATAAAAAATCGTTAGAAAACGGCTTAAGGTGGGCTCTTAATAAGTATATTTATTTTTTTCTCGGCAACCGTTTGATGAACAAGAAAAACTCAAAAAATCAATTTTGTTGAAAATGGATGGCCAGTCAAGAAAAAAATATATTTTCTTTAAAAAAGCAGTAGTGTACCATTTATGTTAAGCAAAATATCGATTTTTTTTTAATTTTTAACACCCTGTAGATCAGAAAGGAAGTACTTTAGACCCAATGGTTATATAAAAATTGTTTTAAGAAGACATGAGGAATCACACCACAATTTTTTTAGACTAATTAGAAAAAAACCCTGTATATTGTCAACTTGACAATGATTGTTGATACATCAAAAGATACCTTTTCTGTAAAAAAAGCCCGATTTTCGCAGGAAAAATTTTGGTTTTTATTGAATTTTGGCCTGCGTCTGCAAATACCGGTATGTTTTTTAATATTCTATCTCTCTAAATTTTAAATATCATAGTCAGAAATAGTTTTATTATTTATTAACTGTAAAAATGGTATACTTATAAGTTTTGTCAAATATTGTGATTTACTTTCTACCTTGTAGTCAAAATTTATATTTAATAAACTGTAAAATATATATATTCTTATGTTTTATTAAAGTTACTCTGATATACTAATATATCAGAGTAACTTTAAAACTAAATCCTTTGAAGTCAAATATAAAGATAAAAAATATTTACAGCAGAAAAGGCGAAGGCGCTGGGTTAAACGTAGTCTCTACTAAGAACACGGAGGGGCGCTTTGACCGAAAATTTTACTATTAAGTTTCATATCTATCTTAATAGAAGATTATTTTCTTTTATCTATGGTTATGGCAGATAATGCATTTTGATTCGTGTGAGTACGTGTGTTTTGTGTCTTTTGAAGTCAAGTGGAGAAAAAAAAAATCGAGGGAAAATTAACTATAGACCCAGAGCACAGTTAATACTCGCTACCCAGGCAGACAGTGTTATACACCAATAAAGTTACCATTAATAAAGTTTGTATACCATCTCGTCGTAGATAAGTGCATCTCGTATATGCTACTAGGATCGTACTAAACATACTACTGGTGTAGCTACAAAATATCGACATCACACATTTTCAGTTTTATACAGTTTTTTTTTACAATATTTTGAAGTAATCAATAATCAGTCAAATTTTAAATATATTAATATCCTGCTATGCGTTCCAGTTGTACCAACTTATTTCTTTGTAAAATAAAATAAACTATACTTTGAAATTAAAATGACAGACACATCTATCACTGTCAAGAATCTTGTCGTTGAACAGACTATACATTAAATTAGAGGCTTTGTTAGAGGTGTGTAGTTCGTATGTGTTTTCTTAATAAACGAACTTTGCTATAAATATGATAATGGTAAAATCATACAGGATGTTCAAAATTCTACGCTAAACTTTCTAAAATAAAATAATTTTTCTTCATTTCTTTTAAATGGAACACACTGTATATTATTTCCTCAATAAATAGAGAATTAAAAAACGAACATTTCGTATATTTAGAGTATTTCAAAATTTTCAACGGTTTTGCAGATATTCGCGGTTTTATATTTCATATGGCATTTTCCACAGTAAATTTTTATCAAAGCCACCCAATGATTTTTCTATCGTATTTTACCGTTGGAAGAGTCATGAAATACTGCGCGTATCTGTGAAACCACTAAAAATTTTAAATACTTTCAATACAAGAAATGTGTTCATTTTTTAACTCTCCATCAAATAAAAATAATAAACAGGGTGTTCCATTTAAAAAAAACAAAGAAAAATTATTTTATACTCTAGAAAGTTTGGCGTAGAATTTTGAACACCCTGTATGATTTAAGATTACGATATTTATAGCAAAGTAAGTATAGACCATTTAAAGTAAATACCTAATATAGTTTTGATTTCAGGGCAGTTCTTGTATTTGTAATAATTTTTTAAGGAAGGTTGAAAAATATACTTACAAGGTGTCCCAGAAATAAGTGCAAGTATTTTAACTGGTAGTATAGTTCAACCCCAGAAACACTCCTATGAGGGTTTTTTCGCGAAAAAAAATTCTGAAAATTCGGAAGTTTTCACTTATAATATCACAAGAACTTAAATTATTTTCGGAAATTTTTTTGAGGGCACGAATATTTTGAAAATTATCCCGAGTCGAAGACGAGGGATAATTTTCCTAAAATATTCGTGCCCGAAAGAAAATTTCCAGGAATAATTTAAGCTTGCGTGGTATTCGGTAAGAAAATTTCACACCTAAATTTGAAAAAAAAAATATTAATCCAACATGACATTTTAAAATAATTTCAATTTGTTAAGTTGGCCAAGGTATTGATGTTTTTGACATATTATGTGTTTTGTCATTTTTGTTTGCGATTCTGTCATTAAGCTATTACTAGTTTTAAAACGTCTGTACGTAGAGTAAGAAGTGTATAGCGAAATGTCGCGATTTGGAAAAGTAAACCAACAAGTCATTAAAGAAGAAATTGAAAATATAAAACCAGATAACACCCGAAAATCAAAATCAAGTGTATGGAAACAGTTTGTTGAATTTTGTGATGAAAAGTCGTATAATATTCATGAGTGTATGAGTGTAGTACAGCTGGCTACTATACTGGAGGACTACGCATTTAATATGAAAAAGAAAAATTTTGAAGATTATAAGGAAAGTGTGGTCAAAGTGATGTGGAACTCTACTGCTAAGCAGTTGCAAGAAATTTATTACGAAAAATATAAAATAAAATTTAATCCGTTTTCTGATGTGGAATTTGTGACCGCCAGAGCTGCACGCGATGCTAAGCGCAAAATACTACAGAGAGATTCAGCAAAAAGAAAAGTGAGTGCTTCAGCCTTAACCAGTGACGAATACAAAAAAATTATTGAAATGTGGGATGAAAATACTCCAGATGGGTTGCAGCGTAAATTTTTTCACATAGTTTCACATGAGCTGGCATGGAGAGGAGGGGAAGGACATTCTGCTTGTATCCAATACTTCAAAGAAGAAACTGATAATTTCGGAAACCCAAAAGGTCGGATAGAATATAATCCAATTTTCTCTAAAACCACACAAGGTGGTTCTAAAAAACTGTCGGATAGTAAATGGTTGATTAGAAATTTCGAAAATCCACAAATGTGTCCGGTTCGCTTGTTTAGAAAGTTGATGGAAAAAAGGGGAAATCTTATTCAAACCGACAGACTATTCTTAACACCAAACCCATACTGGAATCAACCCAATTCGAAAGGATGGTACAAGAATAGCCCAGTTGGTAAGAACATTGTATCTTCATGGTTTAAATCAGCAGCTTCAGATATAGGAATTGACACTAAAAAAGTTAAAATAACCAATCATTCTGCAAGAGCAACAGCTGTTTCGAATTTGGCCAAGAAAGGAGTTGGTGAACAACAGCTCATTAAAATTACTGGACATAGTAATAGTCAGTCGATCAAACCTTACTTACAGTTGGACGCTGAACATCATCAACAGATGATTGAATCCATGAGGAGCATTTCATCAAGTACTAGCCAGTTCAATCATGATCAGAGCACAATGCAAAATAAAACAGAAAATACCCAGATTCAAACCACCAATTCAAGCCAGCCTACAAACATTTACAATAATTGTGTTTTTAATATTAATAAAACCTATAATTACTAAATGTGTTTCGTTATTATTTTGCTATATTAGTCGATATCATTAAAGATTTGGCATTGAAGATAATTCAACATGAAATAAATTCTAAAAAAATCATATAGATATATCCATCATATTTCGTTAAATAGAAAAATACCAGCTTTAGTTAAATAAAGGCGGCAGAACTATATTTTTTAGAACATGGCAATTTCGAAGAAATTCATATGTAGGTATATCTAACATATTTCCTTAAATAAAAAATATTACCAACCTTAGTTACATCAAATGCTAAAACTCAAATGGGTAATATTTCATATATAGACATTGTAGTTCATTCACATTATGATTGTAGATCTTATGTTTACCTTTTCAACTGTCAAAAAATTTCCACTAAAGTTTCGTGGCGCCTCGAAAAAATTTCCGGAAATTTTTTCAGTTGCCATGGTAACTAGTCAACATTAAAGCATGTTATTGGTTGAAAAGTAGAGGTGTGAAATTTTCGAAAAAAAATTTTGGATTTTTTTTAGTTTTTAGTTAAAAAACATAATTTCTTGATAATATGGCAACATCATAGATTTAGTAAGAACAGATATCACATTAGACATTTTAACCCGATCAAACAATGGGAGGTTGACTACGTACTGTAAAAACCAACTGAGATAGAGAAGGCGACATTGCCACATCTCAAATTTGCGCCTACCTACTCAGTTTGATTTGCAGAAAAGGTGACTTTAAAACCTTCACCGAATA